TTTCTATTATCAATGTATTAATTTCTTTAAGAAAGTACAATCTTACTGACCCCAAACTTAACTGAACTGTAGTATATACTGGTGTATATATTATTTATACGTTTTAGAATAGTTTATTATTTTAGTAGGGAAATATGACTAACAGGATTAATGCATAAGCTAGTCACACTTTTCTTGTTAAAAATACAATATGTCTAACTATACTTTATATTTTGTGTACTAAAAATGTCTATATAATCACATGGTTATCGCTGGCATTTTTTCCACAGATGATGTATGGTAGCCTTTCTGTAGGATGACCCAGCTTTACAATAGTCTGCTCTCCTTTATTTCTGAACCTGGCGTTTCCATCTGTCAAATGTCTAGCTGTCCCGTCTTCACCCTGTCTTATCTTCTCTTCACCTGACCTAAGCAAATCTCTCCATTTTCACATCCCACTCTTTGAAAAAAACCCCCATCATCCTGAGAGGTGCAGAGAGTCCTGCAAGAGAGGGCCAACTTTACCATCCCATCAGCTGCTTCACCCCGTCACCTCTCACCGCAGAGATGACAGCTCCTCTCTTCTCAAATGAGAAGGCCAGGGTTGTTTATCAGCCTGTTGATTAGATAAGCCCTAGACAGGGCCATCAGTGGCCGCTCGCCTCCCCTCCTCTCTTCAGTATGAGCTCGCCGACATACACAGACCAGTGCCTGCATTAGTGTAAAGCAGGAACTGTACAGTACATCACATACAGTAAATCACATTATATGCCCAGGGCGGCTTCTGGTAAACAGTTACTTGAGATGAGATGATGCAAACGGGGCCTGAAAGGCTTTCTGGAGCTAAATAAGACAGGAAAGAGAACAAGGCAATCATGGCGTAATGTTGTTTCAGTAGGCCTGAGCGGATCTGCGCCTTTACTGTAAAAAGCTCTAGGGAGGTCAACTTTGAACTGTAATTTGCACACTGATAAATATTCCAGAGGTTGCAGTGCCGGGGAAATAGGATTTATGGAAATGTGTATTTTATGGAGCCAGAATAAAGGTGAAGTTGGTTTGAGGAGTTTCCTGTGCTCTTTTCAGGTGTTTAGTAAGATGGGCATCCCTCAGATCAGGAATCCAGAGCTTCCCCCTGCACACGAAATGCCTGAGAGCTTCCACACAAGGATCGCTCTCATTGGTTGCGGCCCTGCCAGCATCAGCTGCGCCTCCTTCCTGGCTCGGCTAGGCTATGACAACATCACCATCTTCGAGAAACAGAAATACATCGGTGGCCTCAGGTAGAGTAAATGTTTCTGAATGTCTTTCTACTAAACTAACATTTATGAAGCAGTGATCCTTTTAACCTCAGCCTGAAAAGACCATGCTTGTCTTGGATAACTAGTGTGTTATTAGTATTAGTATATTATTTATGTTAATAATAGTATATTAAGGAAAGGCAAAGTGATTTTAAATACAACACAGATGTAATTAAATGGGATTTTGTACATTTATTTATTTGTTATTATTAATATTCATGTCATTTTATTATTAAAGTTATTTCTAAATATTAGGCATTTACAATACCCTTCAAAGTTTGGGGTAAGAATTTTTTTTTATTAATAGTTAATACATTTATATAATGAAATGATGCATTAAAACATTTTTATGTTACATTATTTTTTATTTAAAATAAATGCTGGTTTTTAGCTTTTTGTTCATCAAAGAATCCTGAAATTTTTTTATCAGTTTTTATAAAAATATTAAGCAGGACAACAATGTTTTCAACACTGATAATAATCAAACCAATGTTAATAATAATCAAACCAAATCAACATAACTGGATTGATTTCTGAAAGATCACGTGACACTGAAGACTGGAGTAATGATG